CATGTCTAGTCAGGAGCTGGAATTGGGCAACAGCTTCTCACCATGGATTGCTGGGGATTGCCTAGAGATCTTCAGTTCTGCAACACTTTAACTTTATTCTGAGTTTGCAATTTATAACTTTTTTCCATTATTTGCTTGATATAAAGCAAGATAATAAAGGAAATAATAAAATAAGTATTAAAAAGGAAAGATGATGTCAAAAATTGCATTTGTTGTAGTCTAAAGCTGCTTTTTTAGTGGCAGTTGGCCTGCTCATTCTCAAAAATACCTCAGTGATCATGTATCTGCTTAAAGACCATGTTTCCTTTTTAAAGCCTATTCCCATAAACAATACCCACATTAGGAGATTTTGTTCGATGAAGTCAAGCTTGAACTGATGATCTGTGTTGCAACCCAGTAATCAGAAAAAAATGACTGCTGTAGCAAATCTATCTTCAGAAACCAACAAACATACCAGAACAATTTGGAGCTCCTCCACTTCTCCATCAAAACTATTTAAAATTTCCTTTAGTCTCAGATTACATTAATTATATTTAACTTCATCTTGTGTGATTTCAAATACCAGTAAAGTTATATTCTGTAGCACGAGTAATGCCTTCTCTTAATTTAAGGAGTTAAAAAAGGGGGGTTAACTTTTGTAAGACTTTGTCATCATAATAAAGATTAGAGTGATAACTAACTTATCAGTGTAGAAGGGTTTGAAGGACGTTGATATAAGCATGTACTCAGTTAGAACTCTACAGTAGTAACATAAATTGTGGCCCAAAGGCAAAATAAAAGTTAATGATATATTGTTATCTGTTTACTTTTAGCATATCAGTATATTGGTTGCCAGGCTAAACTGAAATTGCTCAGCTAGATGCAACTGTTATAATTAACAACAGTTATATCTAGTTATATGATAATAACCTGTAGATTTATTCAATATTTAAACAGGATAATTATTCATGCAGTATGATAATTAAACTTTTCCTCTCATTTTGTAATTTCCCTTATCAAAATGTCACACTTTAAGAACCTACCAAGTTTTACAGCAAAAAGTGGGTCTTAGTTTTGAGTAAATATGGTACTCTATATTATTCGACAATGATTACTCTGTATACTCTGAATTACTTGGCAATTATTACTTTGTTGGTTGTGTCTGATAAATTTATGTTTTTAGTTTGGGAACTCTGTGGTTTGTTCATGCAAATGTTTGACTTCACAATAGCCCCATAAGAAGTTGTAAGGTGTGAAGTCACAAGACCTTGAAGGCCATTCCTGGTTACCATAAAGATCTCGCACCCTGGAAACTTTTCTTGAAACAAGGTTGTCGACATGTAGGTGTAGAAATAAATTTATAGCTGCAATAATCCAAATGAAAGAAAATTATGATGCAAGTTCTTGTTTTGCATCCGCATTAACCCAAATGCAAGAATATAACAGTAATATTCTGGTGTGCCTTAATACCCTAAGATTTAAGAGAAGTGACATTGATTTATCCAAAATTTCGATGAATTTGCAAAAGTGATTGTAACTGGGCTTATGATTCCTTGTGCCCAAATATATGTATAGCACCAAAATATACTCAACACGTATTTTACTTGTGAAAAACTTGTGTTATTTCAATACTAAAACTGTAGAAATATTGACAAATATTTGGGAACAAGGAATCATAAGCCCAGTTACAATCACTTTCGCAAATTCATCGAAGAGCTTCACACAAAGTTTCTCGATGTCAATGCTAGCAGAAGAATTTAGGACATAATAAAAGTGAAAAATGTTCAGTTATTTTTACAGATCTGCCATTCTCTTTCACAGCTATGAAGGCTAAAAGTCACATGAAGAAGCACAAGGACGTATCAGCTGAAATGGTGAGATCAAACAGCCCTAGAAAAATTCTGATTGGAAGAAAATCTCGAAACATTACAAAATTCACTAATTAATGTTGGTTGACATGCTAGCAGGAAACCATAGGACTAAATAATGATGTGAAATGTCCCGCTATTTTAACAGAACTGCCAATCTTGTTCACAGGCACAAAAGTTAGTAACTTGAAGAAGCCAGAGGACATATCAGCTGGAATGACAGTACCGCATGACCTGGAAAGAAAACTTTATTGGGCATGTCTTGCAGCCTTCGTGTATGCTTCTGTAGAACACACCTCAAAGTGAAGCAAAGGAGAAAAAGAGAGAAATGTCCTGAGAATGTTGCAGCAGTGGGGTACATGGCAGGTAGCCTGTGCTGAAACTACATATTCATTTTATCCATTTTATTCAGAGCAGACACAATGATTGCACGAAGATTATGAATGATCTCTGACATAGCACTTCTTTTCTATATAATGATTGTTCGTGATTATACAGAATTGCTTCTTTTAATGAACCACTACATGACATATGTTCAGGTAGTTGAAATAATTGTAACAAAACTAATGAGAATGTTACGTTGAAACACCGAAATCTGGAGAATGTCGACTTTCACCGGTGAATGTCAACATTCACATAGTCGATTAGTGTATGTCCGAAATATTTTCCAAATACTCTTATTTCTGACTTACACCGGTAAATGTTGACATTCACCATGTACTAATGATGAATGTTGAACATATAAGAATATTATATTTTCTTCTGCGTAATTCAGTTACGAAAAAACGCACTTGAGACTTAAAATGAGAACTTAAGAACTCAAAAGACACAGTACATTCAATGGAAGGGAATAGTAAAGTTAAAACTTACTTAATTCTTCATTAGTCTAAAAGAAAATAGTATAAAAGTTACTAAATTATGTGATTCAAATCTTATTTGCCAACAACTTAAACTATTATGACCTTTGAATGCACCGAGGCCCTTGCTTTTACAACTGATTTATTGTGGAACACTTCCTTTTGCAATGACAATGTGTATTGCCTTGCCCACCGTTTCTCGAATTAGCTGCAGCTGCTTCTCTCAGCGACATGTCTTGAAAATAAATCTCATCTATGGAAAGTAACTTTCCTTTACAAATTATGAATTGATTACGTGTGTAAAGCTGCTTGCGGGTACCATTTTCATCTGCATGTTTGGAAAAGTCAGAGTCTTCTATTCCAACAACAACCACTAACACATTCGATTATCTGTACGACCACAGTCGACATCAGGGACTTGTATTCGTACAGTATCACCAATTTGAGCAGGAGGAAATTGTTTTTGTGAGGTCCGTAACATTTTTGTTGCTTGCAGTTAAGATTCTCTTTCGCAGCCACTCTTTTTATAGAAATTATCTTGTGTTTTTCAGTCGGAACTTGATGTAAAGACGTGGTAGATTGCAAGTCCTCTTCAATATTTTTCTTTGGAATATGATTTTCGGTATGACCACCGCTCAAATTTTTTTCAGATGTATTACCAGTTTTTCGATTTCAAAAGTATTGGCAATTTCTTCGAGTTGTTCTTTGGTTTCGATATTTGCGATTTGTTGGCTAGGCAAAAAAGATGATACTATGCCTCTCTTTGCTTTAACGCCAAACATGGCTTCATAAGGACTTTGGCATATTCCATCGTGGTATGTAGTGTTCTTGGCAAATTGAACAAAGGGTAAAACATTATTTGATTGCTATATTGCTGGAGCACCAAATGTTAAAAACATTGCAAGAACGTGATACACTACTTCTTCAGTTCTCTTAGTTTTCAAAGGTCATAGCTGAACAAACTTAGTTAAATGATCTTGATACACAATTATGAACTTAATTCGCCATCTCTGTTTGTCTGCAGATCTATCAGATCAACTTGCCATCTTGAGTTTAACTCAGAACTGATCATTAGTTTCACAACAATACCTTTCTTAGGTGCACTGTGTTTCATTTGACACTGTTCGCATAAATTTAAAACAACATTAAAATTCATATGTATATTTTTGTATTTAATTGCAACTCTTTAAGCCTAACGTGTTTTCCTCCGTGCCTATTCTGGTGCGAGTTTCATAGGTAGATGACAATTCCTCATGGTAAACATCGGTATATTCGTTTCTACTGGTTTTATGGTACAAACTTCTCTCATCATTAATTTTAAAACGAAAGTTTGTTGTCTAAAATCCAAGGTGTGTTGCACTTAGTTTTAGTAGAAACCACTTCAGAAAGTATTTTAGGGTATTTTTCTTGAGAGAAAATAAAAGCAATTGTCTTCTCGTTTACCTGCAATTAATGCATTTAACTTTTAAAGAAAAAGATCATGATTTACTGCAGTATCCATTTAGTATAAATTAGGGTACCGGAAAAAAAAATTAAGAAAATGTTGCTTGCACCATCAAATCTTGTATAAGACTGACAAACTGACTGACTTCCACCAGAACAAAGGATTTGGTGGGAAACAGCCAGTCGCCTCTTTGTCTACTCCTCTCTTTTCGACCTACACCAGAGCATATCTGTGATTGTCGACATAACTGGTGAGGGTCCGGATGTACAAGAATGTAATGCAATATTCAATCTTTCACCAACATATTTGGAGAAAGTTGGCATTTTCCAATTTCGGTCTTTCACCTATAAGCACAATTGTACATTATTTATTGTTATTAGACAAAATATCTATTGAGAAATGGCAACAGCTAATTTCTGGATGCCGTTCTATTTATAATTTTAAAAGTATATTCAGAGGATGTACAATTGAAATGTATATCGGTACAATGCAGTAAGAACATCTGTTATGTTATGTGCATTTCCGAATATATTACGTGTAGGTTATTAAGTAACAAGTACAATTTATCTCTGAATAAATGTTTGTCTTTTACAGTCATTAATTTAACTACAAAAGGAAGCTAACACACGGTAACAAGAACAAACTGATGACCTTCAAATAGAAAAATGTTACCCAACTGATAGCATGTACACTTTGTGAAACAACTTGTATTTCAGAAATGTTCATATCAATATATGCTTGTCTTTAACTAAGTATTAAATTTTAAAAAACCTGTGTGTGGTGTATGTATATTTTGAATTTTAATTCTTTCGTAAGTACTTTATACATAACTATATACATTCTATCTTCTAGTTCATAAATGTGCATCATGCAATAAAGAATTCTCTAGGTCATCAAATTTAAAGGAACATGAATTAGTGCATAATGAAGAAAGAGAAGTTTTTGATTGCCCTGTGCCAAATTGCAGCAGATTTTACTTCCACAAACGTAATTTGAAGAATCATATAAAATCTTACCATGAAGCAAGACCTTTCGTATGCCAAGAAGAACATTGCCATAAAGCTTTCAAAACAGAGGTATTGTATCATTTCCTTATTTGATATACCATACAGTTTTGTGCAAGAATACATGGAGTCATTTAAAATTGTTAGTATTGTTAGATTGTTAATGAAGCAATGTGTGCATCATTAATAGGGATTTAGAAGTATGTGAAGATTTTAGCTGAAAAATATTTATAAAATTGAATTTTTAAAAATATTTATTATGCATGTTTAAGTTTTCATCAGTGTGAAGGAAAACATAGTTTTCTTTTACTATATTCATAATTCAATATTCAGTAGAATGGTTTTTGTTGTACATCCTTGTTAATATTTTGTAATTAACTGAGAATAATTAAACATTGATACAGCTGATGCTGCTACAGATCCTGCAGCAAATAATAAACAAATTTTATAATTTCAATTCTAAAACACAGGATTATTGAGGGAAAGGATGCTAAAAGATTTGCTTTAAAGTGCACAGTAGATACGTACACAGAATTTCTTAAGCATAATAAAATACTTATGATTGTGTTAAGCATATCTTTCTACCAATACAAATGCAAATGAATGCTTTAATTTAAATTATATTTTTACAGTTATGGTGGTAGTTTGCTTGTTAATAGTAAGAAATATTGTTACTTAAAAATGCTAGTTTCATAAATAATAATTATAATCAAGGTTCGTAGCGTTCCTTACAAGTGCTTATAAGTCCTTATATTTGAAAATAAAATATAAAAACCCTTATAGGTGCTTGCATTTTTCTCTAAAATACTTATTTTTTTGTTTGTAGTGCTTACTTTTTGCTTTTAGCGGCCTTTTTTTTTTTTTTTTTTTTTTTTGTGGCTTCTTTGGTAGACGGTTGCACAGATTTTGGCTTTTTTTTTCTTCTTGCGAGCGATATGACTTATGGTAAACCCATTGCTAGACAAGTTATTTATGGTAACCGATACTTTGTTGTCATTTTGTTTAAAAAATAATGTGTTTTATTATGCATAAATTTCATGTTTTAAATATACTTCTTCTAAATATTAAAAATCAATTTAATTTTGCATTTTTATTTGAAATAAAAATTTTATTGTTTATGATAGTTTATGGAATTTTATATTGTGGATGATGTAATGAATGTCACATTACTTTAAAAGTAATGGTTTAATATCTATAAATTTAATTTGTTTTAAACATTATTTATGGCTCTTAAATATTAATATACAATTTAATTTTGCATATTTTTAAATGATTTTATTATGTATAATATTACATAATTTTAATTCTATTCGTGATGTAATCCCGATTTGGTTACAGAATGAGCTTAATCAGCTCCCTGATTGGTTGAATATTGCATTACCGGCATTTTAAAATTTTATTATTTATCTCTTCGAATTCCTTAGATTACCTTTTCAATTTTTTTACAAATTTTTTTTCCCTTATTACATTTTTAAAATTATATTAAATATTTCGCATTTTTTGATTGATATCTAAATTATGATTCTGATTTTTTTTGTACTTATCAATATATGATAGGTTTAATATTAAAAAAATTTTTAAAAAATGTAAGTTCATATTTTTGTGTATTATAATTGTATACTTCAATTTTTATTTAAAAAATTAGTACACTGTTTTAAAAATGTGCCAAGATATTTTTTGCCACATATGTGTTAATGTTAAATTTATATGCAAAATTATTTTAAAGGATAAAATCTTTTATTTTTTAAGTAAGGGGTTCCAATATCAATTTAAGAAATATTTTAATTCTTTCAAAAGTGGTTTAGGTTTTTTTCGAATTCATTAAGTAAGATTTTAAAATCAATTAATATGTTGGTGCCAATGTTTTTATAGCGGTGTTTTTTCCTATTTCTTTGCTATTTGAGAGTAATAATTTAACCTTACTTTAGTATTTTATACTTATAGTAAGTGTATTTATTTACATTTTACCGGCCATCTTAAAAACAACATTTTCAACAAAAATAATCTATTTTCAATATTATTTTTTTTTTTTTTTGAAGTTTTTATTATGCGTTAAAATACATAAAAAAACAGCCTTTTTCAAGATGGCTGACGATTATAAAAACTGCACCAATGTTAATCACCAAAAATCCATGCAACCGTCTACCAAAGTAGCACATTTTTTCCCCATACCAAAGCCGAAACTAAATAAACAACTTTTCTTCCTTATAATGGAATGTCAAATGGAATCATACTCCCAGAAATAGCTTTTCTCCCCTTTCTCTGCATTAACATAACCTTTGATGAGTGCGAGTACAGACAGGTGCGCAACGTTCTGTTGCTCAAAGAATTGCGAAAAGTGGTAGAAAATTCTGGTGCATTCCGTATTCTTTTGCTGTCGCCCAATACTACACACGTTTGAATTTCTATTAAGATTTTAATAATTTACGTTCTCGTTTCGCATGGTCAGTTCATATTTGCTTTTATTATGATCGGTATGCTTATACTATGAGCATATGTATGAATATTTATAATAATATATTTTCAGTAACTGCTGAGGTATAAAACTTCAAAAATGGGTAAGTGTGTTTTAACACAGATTGGTTTTCTAAGGAATAATATTCGGAATGGCATAAATAAAGTGAAAATAATCGAATAGTCATTTTTTTTTTTCCAATGCAATATGCAGTATGGAAATTGGGGTTCTCCCCTTTCTCCGAAAAATCTCAAATATTGAAACCATTACAGTTCGCAGCAAAGCAAGCAACGAACTTTTTTTTTTTGGTCACTTTCCAAACTGATTGAATAGGACTAAAAGTTCTGCAGCCTACCAATCCAAGTGAAGAATGATTCTATTCCGGAAATTTTACGCAGTCTGTTCAAAATTAGAATGAAAAACACCCCAGATTAGTAAATCTCTTTATTAATCAATATGAGTACGGAAGGATATTGCATGGAGCACGACGTGTCCTGCTCAATGATAAATATGCCACATCAGTGCATGACGGTGAAAATCGGACGAAGCAAATGGGCGTTTTCCTTTGTATTTAGTTATTTATTCTCTGAATACCAGCAGCTGTTGATTCCGATTGCGTAATATCACATGCGGAAGAATTAAATCGCACATATTGCGCAATATCGTTCACAATGTTTCGCAGAGATAAAAAGAGTTTTATTATGCTTTCTAAGCAGATTATTTTTCAGTTCCATTGGGCTATTTTTTTAAATGATGCACATATTGTAATGTCAAAAGCGTAATTTAGTGGAAAAATCTAAAGAATGGCTACAGTCTACCCCCTTCCTCTTTTACCAGTCACGCTCGACTGTCCAGAGTTTTCAGATATTTGTCAATTTCCGAGTATGCCGGTTAGTTAAGCATTTACTGGTTAAGGATGACTGCATGAAGCAATTTCCCGTCTTCAGATTTTAGGAAAGTTCCTTTTTTTTACTTATTTTTACTTAAATTACTTTGCTTGGAATATCTGTTAATGGAAAACTGTTATACAATGAAAATTTAGAAAATGTTCAGAATCTTGATTAAAGTTAAATTATTTAAATATTAATATGAGTGGAAAATAAGGTGCCAAGCAAATATAATAAATGCGGCTTATTATTATTTATTTTCTCTAATTTGATCTGAAATTTCATCATTAAATCTTCTAATATAATTTAGTTCTGCATAGATTTTCCCCTTTCATTGTAAACTAGTTCTGTAAATTGAACTGTTATTTAAATTTTTATGGTTGAGTAATGCTCATTCTCTCTTAATAAATACTGAATTTCTCATATTTTAAATTACAAGTCTAATTTTTCTTTTAAGGTTATGCAGTTGTGTATAATGTAATTAGACAGGTGCTTATTTTTTTTTTCTTAAAATGTGCTTGAAAAGTGCTTATAGGTGATTCTTATATTATTTATATATATGTAAATGTGTATATACGTGTCCATTTAAAAAAATATTCTTGTCAAATTTTTAAAAAGATTTTTATTTTCTTTTATTAAAGGCAAATAGAAATAGTGAAATTTTTGTATGAAATTACCGAATTCACAAATTTTGTTGTGGTTGATGTAAGTCACTCGTGCAGTTATGCAGTATTATTCAATTTTTGTGCTTTAAATTTTTACTTTTCTTTTCATATAATGCAGGCTGATCTTTCAAAACATGCTTTACGACATGATCCTAATAGGCCATCGAGAAAGGTTTGTGCCTACAAATTCTCTTTTTATTTCTGCTTATGTCATTTATACATGAATTCTATCTCTCTCTCTCTCTCTCTCTTTTTTTTTTTTTTTTGTTACAAAAAGTATTCATATAAATTATATTCCTATGCAGCATTTACAAAAAGTGAAGAGAGAATGTGAAAATGTGCTAGGGTAACCTAGTTTAATTATTTTAAGTGATAAAGTGTAATAATTAAGGATAATTGATGCATAGATGTTGCATTTTCCCTTGCAGTGCTGTTAAAATATCTATATATAATTAGCTTAAAAAATTTTAAAAACTGAAACTACAGATTTTTCTTCATAAATAAATAACCTTAATCTTTGAATATTTTGGAAAGCAGATTTAAATTGAAGGTTGATTAGAAATGCTAATTGCTTCATATTGGAACACTAAGTAAAATGTGATTTTTATAAAATAATGTATCTAATTGTATCGACATATTGTGGCCTGCAAGCCATATGTCTGTGCTATGTAACTTTATGTAAGATCACAGTTAGAATATGGAAATATCATCATCAATTTGCTGTAAAGGATTGAGCTTATCTGCTCTTTAAAGTTTCTTAGTTTAGATGATCAGTTGAAAGACAAGCCTATTCACTATCTAAAGGAGATATAATTATACTTAACACTAATCTCTTAATCATTATTATTTCTGTGTACATGAGGTGGTATATAAAAGGCATATTATCATTTGCAATAATTAACAGAGTAGCATGTTTTGTTTTGTTTTCAGAACAGAGTTAAACTTTTAAAAACTTTTTACTGTGGTAGCCACAAGAACCAAGTTGTATTATCAAATGAATAAATTAAACTATTTTTATCAGATCTTTTTGAGTATTTTCTTTTACATATAGAGTATGCTCTTTCATAATATGTAACAATAATAACTCTTTAACTACTTCAAACTTTCAGAAGAAGAAAAAGAAGACCAAACCCAAACGAAGTTTTGCTTACATATTGGCTGGTTATGAAAGTAACGAGAGTGAAAACACGGAGACAGTCATCTGCAATGATGCAAACTTAGAAAAAAGAAATGACGTGTCTTCAGAATCAGATCAGTTGGATTCTCTTAATATGACTTTAGTAATTTCTAATTCACTTTCTGAGACTTGTACTGATTATCTACAAAGTGATGTTGCAGCTTATGAAAGTAACGAGAGTGAAAACATGGAGACAGTCATTAGCAATGATGCAAACTTAGAAAAAAGAAATGACGTGTCTTCAGGATCAGATCAGTTGGATTCTTCTTAATATATTTTAGTAACTTCTAATTCACTTTCTGAGACTTGTACTGATTATCTACAAAGTGATGTTGCAGCTTATGAAAGTAACGGGAGTGAAAACATGGAGACAGTCATCTGCAATGATGCACACTTAGAAAAAAGAAATGATCTGTCTTCAGGATCAGATCAAGTGGATTCTCTTAATAAGATTTTAGTAACTTCTAATTCACTTTCTGAGACTTGTACCGATTATCTACAAAGTGATGTTGCAGCTTATGAAAGTAACGAGAGTGAAAACATGGATACAGTCATCTGCAATGATGCAAACTTAGAAAAAAGAAATGATGTGTCTTCAGGATCAGATCAGTTGGATTCTCCTAATATGATTTTAGTAACTTCTAATTCACTTTCTGAGACTTGTACTGATTATCTACAAAGTGATGTTGCAGCTTATACTACTATATCCAAAAATGTTCGAAATTGCAGGTACATGCCAATTGTATGTACAAATTAATTTGCAATTCTTTACTAGTATGCTGATATTCAGAGTGATATCAGCAAATGATTTTATACGAATATACGAGCTGTGGCTGTAACAAACATGCTGCTTATATTACTTCCATAATTATGACATATCAAGATTCAATCTCTTCATTTCTGTGATGAGATTTTAGAAGATATAGAAGGCACTTAATATCAATCATATGATCTAGAAAATGAGCAAAATCTCAGATTCCCTTCTGGGAAACTGTTATTTAAAGATATCTTAAAAGGTAAAATTCTTAAGAGTTTGGAGATTGAGGAGAGGCTACTTGAAATGGACACATTTGCACTTTCCTTTTGACATGCATTTTAGGTATTCAATCTGGATATTAAGCATGCCTTATATGAAAATTTATTTATTTATTTTTTTTTACAGAAAAAGACTATCTGAATTCAAGATATTAGGCATGAGAGTCCCTTGTATGGGTAGTACACATGCAATGTCTATCTGTGTTTAGATATCCGTGATCACGAAAGGTTTAATATGACACACAGTCGAACCTGGCTTATTACGAACCTCCAGATATAATGAACAAACCTTTTCATCCCATCCATTTTCATATGCACTTCATATTATTTTATCCTGCTATAGCAAACATCTAAGAGGATGAAAATCAGATTTAATGAACTGTATAGTTATCAATTGAAATTCTGTTTTTTATATTTTTCATGTTTTTTTCAGAATTTTTGCAAATTTTAATGAAAAAAATTACCAATCATCCATGTTTAAAAAAATGTCATCCTTATTCCTATTTTTCTTTTATCTTTACCCCCCCCCCACTATTTTCTGTGTTCTAAACAAAAGCTATGAGAAACAGGTGTGACTCCCAGCTATAGGAGAATAAACATATTGCAAGACACAATACGAGTACATGAACATTTAACTGTAAACATGAATGGGTTCTTTGATTCCATTCAAATTCTTTCATAGAGCTGCCAGACAGAATTCTGTTCAAGGCTCCTGCTGTGATGAAAATTTCATTGTATGAAGAAATAGTGAATCTCAAGATTTTGCGGCTTTGCACTTGATTCTTCTTTTAGGGAATGAAAATTTTGATTTTTATCAGTTTGTTTTACTTGAGTATAAATGCTGTCCATTGCATTCTTTAGTTCTTTTGAAGGATATAAGATATTCTTTATAAAATTTTCGAAATCTTTGTGTTGCAACCATATATATCTTAGGCAAAATGATTGTGTTAGCAAATGGACATTAGATAAGGCATGTAGGTGATGAAATTAGTTTCCTCTTTCATGTTTTTGAGAAGAGCAAAACTCTCACATATTCTTTGGCCAACTGTCCTGGACTCCATTTCTGTGTCAAAAATTCATATGCATAGTGAGCAGTAAACATAAAGTTTCTGTATCAAAGATAAGCTGAACATTATTCAAAAAGTACAACATGACTGAAAACATATTAATATCTGCCTAAATACAGTTTACCTTAATCTATAGATAATACTATACAAAAAACTATCATGGAAAAAATTTGCATGCAAGGAAAATGTTGAGAAAATTAGATTATAGGGATGTTGAAGAGCATTGCTGAAATGGTTCACCATTCAAAAAGTTGTAATCGGCCAATATCTAGGCAAATGCTTGAGACTAAGACCAATGAATTTGCCAGGCACTTTGGAAAGACTGCAAATGAACAAACTACAAATTAAATATTACATATATTGTAATTGTAATTAAATTTTTAATGATTTTTCTTTTAAATTTGACTTATTTTTGGCTTCTTCAGGTAGGTGTGACAATGTTAATCAGTTTTTTCTTTATTTTTACACGTTTTATGAGATAATCCATTTTTCTTATAGGAACAAACATAGCGAACCAAACTTACAGTCCTTTGAAGTTTGTAATAGTGGGGTTCGACTGTGCCTCATATGCTGCCTAGCACTTGCATTTTGCTGTTAATCATCTAGTGTACTCTTAAAAAACTCATATATCTGATCAAGATCATCCTTCATTTTGTGTTGGAATGATTTGTTTTGCATGCCATTTGAGGATGTGTGAAATGTTAAGTTACTGTATTAAGTGATAAATGTTATCAGGAATAGATGCTGAGGACTCCTGAGTAGTAAATACTGCTATTCATGTCCTCTTCATCAACTGTGGTTTTGCAGTATCCACAAACTAAATTGTAGCCATTTGTAGGCAGTTCCTGATTTTGCCTGCAAAATGGACTGAGTGTGTTTCTGAGATACTGGCTTCACTAAACATTAAAAGGTACCTCAGTGTAAATAGCTTTATGACAAGGCAATAACAATGGAGAATGTTATTACTTTGTCCTGTATAGTAAACTTTGGAAAGGTGTAATGAATAAGCAGCTAAAATTGTGTCGCTTATTAATTTCTTTTTACTCTGTGTGCTGAATTCCAAATTGTCATTCTGTCATAGCATAGCTGCCAACTCTCTCAGTTTTTGTTACATTTCCCAGTCTCATGGAAATCACCAAATTTCCCAATTTTTAATTCTTAGTCTACTAATGGAAATGATTTTCAGCAATACAAGAAATTTATTGAATTAATAAAATTTAAATTGTTCAGATTTCATCCCTCACCCCTAGTAATTTTCAACATTCTTTTTCTTATTAAATTTTATTTTATTTGAATTGCGTTAAACTATCGTATTGAAGAACTTCAAATGAAGATTCAATCTAATATTAAACCAATCAGTAATTTATTTCGCTTTGTGTTACATCAATATATGGTACATAACTAAGTTTATCCACACAAAATTGTGTGCATTAATTATTAATTTTATTTGCATTGTGTTTAAAATTGCCTTGATAAATTAAAGCATTCACTCTTTCTAGTCAGTTTTAGGTACAAGAACCTTCCAGTTTTTCATATTTTAAAGTTGGCAGCTATGTCATAGATTAGAATTCTCTGCACAAAGTTTTAAAAAAAATTCTGTTACTCTAAATATTTATTTTAAGTAGGTAATGGAGCATAAATCAGTTTTATTGAGATTTCCCCAAGAAATATGTTGTATGACAATGTAATATTACATTGCTGAAAGTCTGTGCATTATTTTCATTACTGTGAGATTGGTTTACTTTTGTATTGTTTATTCTATAGGTTATTTTTGATGATTGCGAAAAATTTCTTATTCACAAATGGAAGCTAATTTTTTCCATTTTAGTATTTTTGATGAATGTTACGCAATTCATGTGTGAAGATATAAATTTTAATAAACTGAGATTTTTTTCAAAGTAAGACTTTTTTGTGTTAAAATATATTCTTAATATATTTACTGTATTTAAGAAATACATATACTAATGAAATTTTTAAGTGTTACAAAAAATATGGTAGACTTCAGGCAGTATGTATTTGTAAATTACTTGTGAAAAATGTATGTAATTTATGAATGGCCCTTCTTGAACAATAAATGAAACTTAAACATTAAAATATCAAATGTGTCCGGAAGAAAATAGTAGATATTTGCATATAGTTTTACATAACAATATTAAAATTTAGATTTATTCCTGTGATTGATTTTGCTCACTTGGCAGCTTTTGTCTACAATTTATGTAGATTTCACAGATTTACATAAATTTATCGCATACACATAAAATTTCCAAGCTTTTTTGTGAGTATAAATATATACTTTTGGTAGAAATTTACCTTCATTTACCCTATATTTTTACTTTGCTTATAGGTTTAATTTTGATAAAAATTCAGTTAAATCTCCCAGCACTTTTTTCTGTGTATTAATCTGCAATTTTGGCCAAAAATGCATAAATCAACTACATTCTTACTAAATCTATCACTGCATTTATATTTATATTTTTTGGGAAACTACATATACAGTACAAAGTCTTTAATCCGCACTCCTTGGGACTTCGGCGATTCCGGATTAGGGGTTTTTCCGGATTATAGATCATCAATTTAAATCTGGTAACATGGCATGCAGAAATAATACAATTAAAAATATGAAACCGTAATTTATGAAATAAAGAGCAATTATGATCTAAATTGTATCAAAATTTACAAAATATATATATATATATATATACCGTAATTTCCGGAAGAAACGCCGCGGCGTTTACATGTTTAAAACCTAAATTTTCAGCGGGTGCGGCGTTTAGGTGCACTAAAAATAAAATATTTCCTTTGATGGTCATTGTGCATAGTTTGAATAACTTTGTCATTGTACATAGTTTGGATGGCGTTGTCATTGTACATAGACCACTCAGTGGTTCAACACAAAAGACCACTCAGTTATTCCAACACAAAAGACCACTCAGTTGCTTTTTGCGAACGTTATTTTGTTTACATTCTTTCCCTTGAACGGACCTATATGCCTTATTCACCCTAAACGGGATCTCAGAACAATAACATTCTTCTAACTTTGAAATCAGCATTCTCATCATTTTGAATAGTCTCTCTCCTCTGCCATTCGATGAATCTTCCAGAAACCATCCACTCTCCACCCCTGCCTTTTCTGCAATTTTTTTCAAAGGCGGACAGACTCCACCTGCCTCGCAATAACGAACTCTGACGTATTTCCCCTTCAGCATGAATGTATTTTTCTTGGCATTCTGCCAGATACAGATCCCATCAGTTTGGGTTAAGTACTTGTTGGATAGTTTTTAACTTAACTTGTTAGACAGTTTTTAACTTTAAGTACAAGTACTTGTTGGATAGTTTTTAAGAGCGGAAAATTTTTTAAAATGGCACCTAACGGCACAGAAGCTATACTGCTGGTTTTAAGCTTAATGTAATTTCACGTGCTGAACAAATTGGAAATAGAGCAGCAGCTCGAGAGTTTGAAGTGGACGAGAGATGTATTCGACGTTGGAGAACTGAAAAAGAAGAACTTAAATATATGCCACAACAGAAACGAGCCAAAAGAAGTGGTACTGTAAGGTGGCCGAATCTAGAGGACGACCTTGCAAACTGGATAAAGGAGCAACGAAAAAAAGGAATGGCAATTTCGACTGTAAAAATTCGCTTACAAGCAAAATTTATAGCAAAGCAAATGAACATAAATGATTTCAAAGGACGGCCTTGCTGGTGTAGCAGATTTATGAAAAGAAAAAATATTTCTGTGCGTACTAGAACAACAGTCGGGCAACAATTACCAATGGACTGGCGGGATAAAAAAGCATCTTTTCTAAAATATGTGACAGATATTATTGACAAAAGAAAACTTCTTCGGTCACAGATATGGATGAAACGCCGTTAGCGTTCGACTCTCCTGCAAACAGAACTGTTGATGAAACTGGTGCAAAAACTGTATCTGTGCTTACGACGGGGCATGAAAGAACGTCATTTACATGTGTGTTAGCTTGTGCCGCAAACGGTGACAAGCTAAGGCCGATGATCATTTTTAAACGGAAAACTATTCCGAAGGGAGATTTTCCTAATGACGTAATTATTTGTGCAAACGAGAACGGCTGGATGTGCGAAACAATCATGCATGAGTGGCTACAAAAGTTTGGCAGTATCGTAAGGGATCTTTTTTCCAACCAAAAGGGTTATTGATAATGGATTCCATGCGTGCGCATTTACTTGAGTCAGTGAAAACCAGATGTCAAAAATTGTCTACGACCGTAGCAATAATTCCTGGTGGTTTGACAAAAATCTTACAACCATTAGATTTGTCAGGTAATAAATCTTTCAAAGCTGAAGTCCGAAAGCGGTGGGAGTGTTGGATGAGTGAAGGATTGCATACGTATACCAAAAGCGGCAAAATGCGTAGAGCATCTTATGAAGAAGTTGCAAAGTGGGTAGGAAGTGCGTGGAAATCGGTAAAAACATCGTCAATAATCGCAGGATTCAAAGAAGCTGAAATTATATTTTTAGATAAAGAGGCTGTAAACCAAGAGGATGAATGTGACGATCTGGAAGACTTGGACTTAGATCAGGATTTACTAAATCTTTTTAATTCAGAAAGCGAAGAATCAGATTTTGATGGCTTCATATGATGTTTAGTTTGCTTTAATTCTTTTTGTAATCCAAATTTAATAGTTCGTTGTTGCAACATTTTTTATAATATAGTCCGAGTATTACAAATATGGACTTCTCTAGTGGATATATATATAAGTATATTCGTGAACGCAAATATATTTTCAACATTTCTTACCTTTAATTTATTTTTGAGTTATGATTTCATTTCATGCATTTTTCTTAACTTATATGTCATATATCAAGACATAGGTTAAGATTTTGCATCTATACGGCCCACGAAGATGTCACGCGCAATTAAATCTATTGCGGCGTTTCTGTGTAATTTTAATTTTTTTCCCGCCATTTTTCTCGAGTGCGGCGTTTACGCTGATGCGGCCTTTCTTCCGGAAATTACGGTATTTGTTTACTTTATTAAACATTTCTTTCAATGTAAGTTGTTTAAGTTGCTTCGTTTTATGTACTTTCGTTTTAATACTTTCTCTTTAATTCCATAACAGACATAATTTCTTGTTCAGTTACAAAGTTCCACTGTTCAAGTCCTGTAATTGCTGTGCCGATAATAACGACTAATTTGCCAATCGAAATTTTTTCGTTTTCACTAACCTCTCTGTCACTTTCTTCATGCCTTTATCCATTTTTATTCCACTTTTTGTTTGATGGACATCGAAACATGCTTTCGCTTTGTAGATCCTTTGGCAGCTCCAGAATCGGAAACTCGTTTTGACATAATCGAAAGTTCAAGTTCACTTTTTATAAAATTGCTCTAACAGTCTGCAAAAAATAATAAGCCGAATCCAATTAGAAGATTAAGGAACAGCACAATCTGCAACATTAACTGAAATAGATAATTGGATAATTTTAGCCTAGCTTATACCGTCCGTTATACATTAAATGTGCATGCGTAGAAAGTTTGTAGCTTTGAGGTCCGGATTAATGACTTTGTTTAAATTTTAAATTGTTTTATATAATTTAAAGTATACGGATTTTATATTAAAGCAATTCATGCAATAAAAATAGAAATCATTTTAAAGTTATTGAAATATATAAACTTTGTTTAAAAATTCATATTATTTAGTACTGAATCATTAAATAACAAAGCAAATTTCAAAAATAAATTACCCTTATGTTTTACCTTAAGAATAAACAAAAGCAATAAAAGACACTTACCTGTTTTACCCCTCAGATTTTTATTAAAACATCTCTAATTTCTTCCTAGATTCTCTAGTTATGTATCAATCTCTATGAAATTTCCTCTTTATTAATAGTCATTTTATCTCCATAAATTATTATTATTTTGTTTAATTTTATGCTTCACGGCTAATGGTGTTTTTCAGATACAGCAAAACTTAGAAATGTACAAAAGAAATTTTATTTTTTTCACAGTCATTTTAAAAGTACATTAGGGAGCTAATGCTTTTTAATACTATCAAAAATTTTGTCCATTGGAAAAATAATGTCTACTGATTGATATAGTATATCTGGCAGGCTCTAATATTTTGATCTGGTGTGTCTCATGTAAATTGAATAGAAACTTAAATCAATAAAAAGGATATATAAATTAGAGTTAGGGACACTGCTAAAGAAAAACCTCTTAATTTCATTATTCAGAGAAAAGTCGGTCGAAAAGAGCAAAATTTGTAGTACAGTAACCTCTCTGCAATCTGTGCCATTCTAGTATCATTGGATAGACCAAGGATGCGAATGTTAGTTGCGCATAGCCACAGTTATTCCCCATCTGCAGAAATCCTGTGCCCTTCCTCCTTTTCTCAGTTATCGAAAGGTATTGATTTAACTCTTTCGCATCGAAGTCGCCCGTAACGCCCGTTCATTCAGGCAACGGCAAACCGCCCCAACGCCTCGTTTATTTTCTACCTAGTGCTTTCCCCCTCCACGTTAGTGTATGGCTCATTGGTTTCGCGAGTTGTTAAGAGACATGTCAGTCATTCTTTGAAGCAACTAAAGGAGACATACGGAAAGCTATTAACGTTCGCAGGGACAATCCGGCTCTAAGGTGAAACTGCACACGATGGATGAAACCGCTGAAAAACCCCCCATGAGAGAAACAGTCATTTGACATAAGTAGGTTATTGTTAATGCTGTAGCTATTTACAGGCAGGGGTAAAGGAAAAACGGGCGTTTTCGATGTTTGATGAAAACAGATCTGGTCGTCTCGATGCGAAAGAGTTAAGATCGAAACTAATAGAATAGCAGACAGGAAACGCGTGACTCCATTGCGTTAAAGTTGAGCATCAACAGATGCAAAATCAAAAATACGCTTAGTGAAATTAAATACTGAATACCCCCCCCCCAAAAGCAAATATTTTGGAATTTCCGTCTCCTGTTTCTACATTGACCTCGTATGGTGGTTTAGAATATATGCTTTCAAATGAACTATTGCTTGAACTCCTAGATTCCTTTCCATTTCGTTTGGTATTCCGAAGTGGGCACACTAAGTGAATAGAGCTTCAAAAAGAGTGCAGAAATGAGCAATTGCTGAAAAGCGAGTAAAAGACTAAGAGATTTTGCCTATAATTAAAAAACACCAGATGATTATCATCATTGATGTTTTAAAAACGTTTGTTTCAGAGGAATGTGCAACTTCTTTCATTTGGTATTTCGATTAAGTTTAGGTTGACAGTTTTGTCTGCTTTCATCTGCCTCAATATATATACTTAACTAAAAATTAAGTCAGTTTCTATTTTTCCATCTAAATTTATACGTATAAAGTTCTTAGATATTCATCTCCTTTTGTTTCTAATTTTAGCATACGAAAATTGAGAGGGAAAAATTACGCGAATAATTTAGTTTCCGAAGAATGCGGTTACAGTAAGAATATAAGAAATTAAAAGTATTCACGGGTAAACTACCAGTATATGTCACAGTATTAATTACAGTCAAAAGTCGTTAACCCGGACTCGTCGGGACTTCGGCGATTCCGGATTATAGATCATCAGTTTAAATCTCGTAAGATGGCATGCAGAAATTCTAAAATTAAAAACATGAAACCGTAATTTATGAAATAAAGAAAATTATGATCTAAAGGGTATCAAAATTTACAAAAAAAAAAGCTTATTATTTATTTGTTTTACTTTATTAAACATTTCTTTCAATGTAAGTTGTTTCGTTTTATGTGATAATACTTTCTCTTTAATTCTATAAACAGACATAATTTCTTGTTTAGTTACAAAGTTCCGCTGTTCAAGTCCCGCAACTGCTGTGCCGAGAATACCGACTAACTTGTCAATCGAAATTTTTTCGTTTTCACTAACCTCTCTGTCACCTTCTTCATGTCTTTATCCATTTTTTGCAGCAATTCCACTTTTTGTTTGATGGACATCGAAACATACTTTCGTTTTGTAGATCCTTTGGGAGCTCCGGCATCGGAAATTCTATTTGACATAATCGAAAGTTCAAGTTTACTTTTATAACATTGCTCGTACAGTCTGCAAAAAATAATAAGCCGCATCCAATTCGAAGATTAAGGAACAAAGCAATCATCAACATTAACTGAAATAGATAAATTTAGCTTATACCGTCCGTTATACATTAAACGCGCACACGAAAATGTATTCTGCACTTGCGCACACGCATCTGCGCAGTTGTAAAGGTCTTACGCGCGCTCGTAAACGCCTATGCGCATGTGTCAACGCGGCGCATGTGCAGAAAGTTTTTAGCTTTGTGGTCCGGATTATGGGTGTCCGAATTAACGACTTTTGACTGTAATTAAAAGAAAACTGTATCTCAGTAAGAATACATAGTAATATAAACATTAGAACATCTAATAAAGTGTCTTCATTTCTACTTCCCTGCATCTTAAGTTTTGCCCACTGCCCTTATTGTTGTCCCTAGGCCTCAAATCATTCAATGCTATATTAACTGCTTGTATCACTTGGGCAAAAGTTCATCAATCAGAACATTTAAACAAAATCCTTATGCCAGTTTCCATGAAGTAACAAGGTTTAGCTGTTTAGTAGCGAAGGTCGGCTTGAGCCACTTTGGGCCTAACAAAGGCCTTCATTTGGAAATGCTCTGTTACGTTTAACATGATACTATTATTAGTGTGTGGAAAGTAGGAGATTCGTTGTTATCTTCGCAAGTAGTGTGCGGAACTTATCTTTGTTAGTAAGATGAAAACAAACACTACAGATTTTTAAATCTACGCTAAATTTTAAAATGGATTAAGTGGATTAATCCATCTTAAAATTTAACAAAGCTCGCTTTCTGAATGCCTTGAGAAAGGAGAAAATTATGTAAATGCTTTAAAAACTTTTCAGAACCTTCTGCTGAAAAGCCGAGGAAAAAATATGCGATAGGGTAAATACAGTGTATTTAGTTCAGTGCATTAGGTAAGGGCTCTTTGAAGCTTCGTACCCCTACGCGGTTGCATATCTTGTATACTCCTATTCATGCCATTGCAGTAATTTTAAGTGTTTATAATCCTATACTTGAGTATTTACTTGGAAAGATTAAAAAACTTTAAAATAGTTTCGAACAGATGACACCATAACAATGTTTATAGCATCTTTACAGTAATAATTTAGAGTAATTAAATTAATAATTACAGTTTTATAATTATAGAGAAAATCAAAATATTTAAATAATAACTGCGAAATATTTATGCATATTTCACTGAAAATATTTCTACAGATTTATAGTATGATTAACGTAAATTTTCAGTTTCATTTAAGTGTAACTCAATTGAAATTAAAGTTTAGAAAAATCGAAGATTTAACAAAGCATATACAAATCATCAGTATTTTGTCCTAATAAAAATATATCTAGTACAGAAAAATAATACACAATTTTCTATAAGACTACTTTCATTATTTCTCATATATCATGTTTAAACTAGTATGCATTTTCATTTAGAACAATGTATAAGTACTTTGATAGCCCCATCCGCACCAGAATGAGCAGTTTCAAATGCTTTGTTTACTTCCTGCAGTTTAAAGTGATGAGTGATCAATGGCTTAACATCCACAAGCCCACTTGCAACCAATTGCAACGCAATAGGATAACAATTTGTATATCGATAAACACCTCTGATGTCAATTTCTCGAATACTGGCATCGAAAATGGGTATTTTGATTTCAGGAGCACCAACGCCCACTAGTACTAAAACACCCCCACGTTTGGTAACCTGTAGAGTAAAAAGGTTACAACGAATAAGACAGTAAATAACATTTCCAAATATATTAAGTCATAAATACATCTTTTTTATATGCTAAGGTTTAAGGCTTCAAACACTTTTCTCTTGACATGTTCTGTTTGCAGCTTTAAACAATGGAGATTAAAAATTTTTATTATTATTATTATTTGTTTTGGTTTCAATGTGTACAATTTTCCCGTTTTTTTATAATTTTTCCTCTTTGAAGTGAAAGTTTTTTATTAAAATTTTGTAATTTTCTTTAATTTGCGTTTTACCAGTTTATTTTGTTGCACGGAAAAAAACAGGATTAACCTTCAAATATTTAAAACGGCATTTTCATTTTTATTCCGATTTTCGAGATTTTTATTTATTCTTTTATATGTTATATATACTTCTGTATAAAATTTAAATCGTCTTCACATTTTTTTTTTCTTCTAAGAAGAAAGAGCAAATTAAAACAGGAAATCGATAAATTGCAGCCAATAACGTAAAATCTTCTATTGGCTACAATAAAGCGACTTAGTATACTCCTTAATAATATTTCATATTTCTAATTGGCAGCACGTCTATGAATAAAATATCTGCGGTTTAAACAATGGTTTCATTATCACTGATAAATAGAAGTTTTGTAATTATTATCAGAAATGTATTCTTCAAATACCTGACACACGTTATAATGGGTTAGGTTATTTGAATATGGAAAATCCATGATGGTTATCTGCCTAAGAGAAAGAATGCCTTCTGGGAGGACTTTCAAAGGGAAATTAGCTCATATTCACTTTATATATAAGAAAATCACGAAAACCAGCAATGCGGCCAGCGCGTTCATCTGGGTTCGAATACAAAGCAGGCTGAATTAGCATTCAGCGGTCTAAACCACTTTGCCACTGGTGGGGTATATATTACAGTAATGCAATTATATTATATAATTATAACCTTATATATATATATATATAATGTTATATATGTTGAATGATCTTAAATTCACTTAGTTCGAAAACAAGTTTTTCTAATACTTGTGCAGTAGCTGCAAAGTAAAATAATAATAATTTATTTACTAAAGAAATATTGATTATATTATCTCCTAATATAAATTTAATGTTGTTAAGGAAAAAGCCCTTAGTTACCCATTTCAAACACTGGCCGATATATATACAAGAATTTGCCATTAGTTTGCGCTTTGGCGGGCTAATTCTAGATCTGGCTGATAGATACTGGTTAAAGTTAGAAATTGTCTTTATAGCAGTTCCTTGCATAACAAACATAATGCATTTTACGATGAAGTTCGGTATGAGAAACGTTGTTTCGCATGGTTTACTATGGGAATAATTTTAATCTATTTATCATTTCTGCCCAAAATTGCGAAACTCCTCACAGAATATTAAAACTATCACCAATGGTGGAAATACCAGGATTTGACTTATTTATTAGTGATGAAAAATATTTACATTACATCTCGCAAAATATTGATTTTGCTTTCTTTTCCAGTTAAATTTAATCTGAATTTTCCACTGGTAATGGAAGTTTAACCAGTCAATACTTTCTTGAAAATCTTTGTGTAGTTTTTCTAGGAAGGTCTAGATTTCAAGAAGCTTTCTGAAATAGTTTGCTTCTCCTTCTTCAGTATTATTTTGAGGTACTGAGTTCTGAAATATTTACAATGAACAGAGCATCAAAAATGTTTATCTCAGGTTGACTGACATAGCTTGGTTGTGCCTGAACTTCTACGTATTTCTTCGAAAGGCCTTTCATGATTATAATAAACAAGGACGTTTCGTGTAATTTTTGTACTTACCTGTCTTTAAAAAAAAAAAAAAAAAAAAAAAAAAAAAAAAAAAAAAAAAAAGCGCTCTGCATTTAATGTAAGACAAAATTCGTTATGCTAAACATTTTTCTTTGTGTTCGTTGTATAGGACCTTCATTATGTTAGGCCTTTGTAATGCGAGGCACAGCTCTTCTTCATTTTGAATGACTCTTCCGAAACCGATGTACGTGGAGGATCTAAATGCTTTAGAAAAAAGAGCTCCACATCATTAAAATGAAATATTGATCAAAAAGTTCTTACCAAAATACCAAGCCGTATACTAGATTCTGCACCACAACATTCAATTGTAATGTCCGGTGGACCGCCCAATTTCGATAATACTTCCTCCAAGACGAGAATATCATTTCCTTTTGCAGAAATCTGGTGAGAAGCACCAAGTTTCTTAGCTACTTTTAATCGATCTTCAGAAATATCTATTAAAAAAATAAGTGCATTTTAATAAGGATTGATAAAGAAAATGGACACTCAAATAAGAAATATTTGCAGACACTCAAATAAAAAAATGTAAAGCCTTTTTTCTCTGAAAAACCTGGTAACAAATATTGTATTAAAAATATAACAGAATTTCTAAAATCAGTACTCCAACTATCTAAAATTCCAACTATCCAGATTGCAGATTCTTCTTTCTTTTAAACATTCTCTTGTGAAGACATGCTTTGACAAATAGCCCTTTGCAAAAATTTTCTTAATTAAACCAACTAACCACTGAGTCTCTTGTTTTCGCCTTTCATTTTCTATTGATGCTAGCAGTAAGAATTCTTTATTCTTGCCAGTAAAAGGCAATGCTTCACTTTAAGCTTATTTGAAGGGGAATTTATTTTGTATCACTCGAATAAAAATACTTTTTTATTTACTTTAATGTATAAAAAAATAAAATTAAAGGCTTATTTTAGGTTTTTTACTTAAATTAATTTTATCATTTTAGTTGGGATAGAAATGGATTACGTTTTATGCGAAATGAAACATAATTTTTGTTTAATTTTTTTCAAGCAGTAAGAATAAGGAGTATCGAAACTAACGGAACAGACTTTATATGGCGACATAACACACCAAAATAAGCAGTTTTCATCACAGAATGCATGGTTGTGCATTAAGTGGTTAGGCGCTATAGGTCGCATTCGTTTTTCTACACATGCTTTCTTTAACAATGCAGAGAGGGATGATAATATTCGCCTTTTCATTCGTGTACCGATTCATAAGAAGTCGCTAATGACAGTGCATAAAAACCCTTAATTCGACAATTTAGCTGCTGATAATGCACGAAACTCTGTGTATCCAGCTCAATGCAAGTAAGACCATACATGACGTAAGTAAACTAAAACTGAGGGTACCTCTAAGGATATTACGAAGAAGAGGGCAAAGAAGTAAGACCGCCATTACCTCTAAAGCTAAAAGCAGCTTAGATGGCTTGAAAAAAAATTCAGGGATTATGAGTTAAAAGCAGCAAATATAAATGTTTTTAGTTGAGAAGCAAAATAAATTTTCTAACTTTAGTAATAAAAAATATTTTAGATGATTTTTAAAGCTAAATTTTTGTATTTATTTAAATTTTAATGCAATTATTTATACTTTGTATTCAATTTTCTTTATTTATGAAGTAGATAAAATACGCATAGAATGCGATTCAAAATGCAATTACCGGTCATTATTAAAAAAATAACAACAATAGATATAAATAAACTATTTTTAAAAAATATAAAAATCTGAAAGGTTTCAAATTTTAAATTACGTTCAAAGGGCAGTTTTTTTAACGTTTTGTGTGTTACCTTTATTTTTTAAACGTCGCAAAATAATTTAAAAATGAACGTAGCTGTAGAATTTCGGATATACAGTTTCGCGCGGTGGAGATAAAAGTCTCCCCCTGTAGAGTGTTGCCATTGCTCGCTTTGAAATCGATGAGTTTGTTAATCAAAAATTCGTTATAGTTTTACAAAATATAAAATCAATACTAAAATAAATTCCAAATTCCAAATTTGGGCTTTCAGATGCCCATATTGGCAGTAAGATTTCGTCATTCAAAATTAGATGGCTTTAGGTACCGTTGTTTTATCACAATGCGACAAACATACATACATTTATGCAGATTCTTCATTATTTAATTTCTTCAAATATCATACAGGGCGATAGTTTTTGGTGGCATCGATTTGAAAAGTGATACAGCCTTTTAATATTTTCAACGCAAAATTACAGAACGAAAACAATAGTCCTTCAGGGACAAAGCCCCTTTGAACTAAAAATAAATAAAACGTAGATATTTTAAATTCATTCATATATACAAACCTGTGATGCAAATTTTAGTCACTCCCATTGCTTTGCATGTCAGTAAATTGAGCAATCCAATAGCTCCTAGAAAAAATTAAATGAATCGGTATATTTTAATGGAAGTAAAAATCGCATTTTAGTAAATTGCAGTTCACATTTCGCCTTTCATACAGCTATAGGGAGAAACAGATAAAATTATATGAGCTAATACAAAATCAAAGAAGAACTATGAAAAATAAAATAATATATTACGTACAAAATTATGAAAAATAAAATAATATATTACAATAAAAACATCAAATCTGTAATAAAGATTATAAAGAGAAAAGTAAATTTCTGAAGAATAATATAGTATAAAAATTATAATATTTTTTAAGTAAGGTAAAAGAAATTTGTCTTAACAAAGTATAAAATCTGGGATTAATAAAAAGAATAAAAGTTTATATAAATAAAGTATTTGATACAAGTCTTATGAAAGAAGCTTCATGTAATATAAATAACAAAACAAAAACAAAAAATACAATAAAAAATTTGAAATGTTTCGGATTTTAAATTACGACCAAAGGGGCTTTTTTTAACATTTTTGTGTGTTACGTTTATTTATTAAATATCATGTTCTTCGCACTTAAACCATAAAATTCAGTTCAAGAGCAATATCGCAAAATAATATTTAATTGAGCATATCTTTAGAATTTTTGAAATCCTTGAGTTTCTTAATTAAAAATTCGTTAAAGTTTTACAAAATTTGAAATCGATAATAAAGCAAATTCCAAATTTCAAATTTGGGCTTCTAGATGCCCATATTCGCAGTAGGATTGCGTCGTTCAAAATTTGATGGCTCTAGGTACCGTTGTTTTATCACAATGCGAGAAACATTCATACGTTTATGCAGATTCTTCATTATTTAATTTCCTCAAATATAATACTGTGCGATAATATTTGGTGGCAACAGTCTGATCAGTGAAACGGGCATTCAGAGTGATTTGACGCAAAATCGCAAAACGAAAACAGTAGCCTGTCAGGGAGAAGGCTCCTTTGGACTACTAATTAAATTATTTTAATTACTTAGACTTTTAGATCTGAAACTTGTTCCCTTCATAACGTGTACAGGAGTGTAGTAAAATTACTTGTAGCCGGATATATCGAATTAGCGGCATTTTTGAGGGTCTAAATTTAAATCCGAAATTATGGCTTATGAAATAAGAAAATATATAATGGACTAACAATCTAAATGTTTAAAAATAGAATATATTTGTTACGTTTTTACATCCCTACGTAACAAGCTTTATCCAAACAATGCACTTAGGAATCATCTAGAATATAAAGATGAACTACCGATCCCTTTTTATGCGATGCTGTGTGAATTTGTAAAGTAATGCCCATGGTTTTCATAAGCAATGGACATCGAGAGGCACCAGATTTACGTTATCTCTTGCTTGGAAAGATGTAAAGACATCGTCGATTTCCGAGTAACTTGTGGCCCATGATCACGTTCGTACAAGTCGAATGGCAAAGATTCTCTTGCTTTTGAAACATGTTCGGTGCCAGTGGTTCACATCTTGGATGCATATTTAGATTTTCGGATATGTTTGGTATAAGTGAAGAGGAGATGCAGGTTTGGGCGGATATAGACAATTCTGTTTCCATCACACTCTGTCTAGATGATGACGAAATAATCAGACATATATTATAAAACGGGAAAAATGATGATGAAGATGACATATAAGAAAGTTATGTGACAGGAAGCTTGGTAGAAAAGATTGCAAACTTTCATATGATTTGCCAAGAAATGTTCATCTGAATCAATAATGATGTTATGAAGCTTCAGTGTATACATAGCGAATTTTTAAACTATGGCGAGAATTCTGTAAGAAGGCAGACATTTGAAATTATATGTCATTACATTAAGAAGAAATTATCCGTATTATTTTTTATATTATTTATTTATTTGTAGCCGATGTATAAAAAAAAACATGATCAACAACTGACAATTTTACACATGGGCATATCAAAATATGAATATGCAATTATGCAATTTTTACACATGGCATATCAAAATATGAATATGCAATTATGCAATTTTTACACATGGCATATCAAAATATGAATAAGTAAATTATAGAAATATATATTCAGCTATCCGTAAAAACCTCTCCTGAAGTCCCGTTGACCTCAGTCCCGTTGCTGCCGCTTAAAAGGATTCTACTGTATTAGGATTATAGACCTTTACTCTATCTCTGACAATCTTGTATCTTATATGAACTAGATATCTTTAAAATTTAGAAATAACTGAACTTTTGGTTCATCATTATGCAATTAACGAAAAGCAGCATATATGAAGCGCAGCAGAACTGCTTTAGAAATCCATTTCAATACTTAAAAGCAACAATGGCATTATCAGCTGTTATGACTGTTACAGAAACTCGGATGTTTTTGTTATTATGGTACAAAAAAGCCATTTTATTCTTCAAATTGCTATATTTTTAAAATTAAAATTAAAATTTATTTAGAAATGTAGAATTCTTTTGATATTGTAATTAAAGTATTGTGTTCTAACATTTCTTATGCTTCTTTATGTTCAAACACTGTTTAAAATTGTCCTTAAATACTTTACATAAATGTGAAAGAATATTAATTCTGTAGTAAAGAATGTGTAAGATGTTCCAAACAATGTGGGACGTTGCGTGGCATATTCGGGAGGTTAGGAGAAACAAAACGCCTCTTCGATAATGCGGTACATCATTTCGTTTCAGAGATATACAACTTCAAAATCCAGTCTTGTTACTTCTTGCAAACGAATTGAGAAACACCATTATGAAGTCACAGGTCTTTAATATCCTTTATAATGCAGCTCACAGTCAGTGCTCAAATACGCATCATTGACATCAATATGATCCTTGGATCTTTGGATTAGGGATTGGGACACCTGACCCGGCGTTACGACGCCAGGTGTTTGTTGTCGAAGGTTAACTGAATGTGCGCTCTGAGTTTGCTTGAAGGAGATCTGGTATGTGATTGATTTCTCATGGCTCCATTAGAAGAAAATCGACAGATTTCAAGTCTAGTGATCAACAGACATCAGAATATATAATAGGTAGTCTTTCATTCGAACTGCCGGAGATAGCATTGCGGGATTCCGAAATCGAATATATCTTAAACAAAGAAGGGCACTAGAAGCATTTCAATGGTGCTCTAGAACTACAACATTTTGTTTGACGACAATTTTTGGATACCTAATGCAATGTTATTTCGTTTTTCTAGGACACCCTATGTATAATTGTGCTTGATAAAAAATAAAAATTAAAAAAGAAAACTACCTGTGCGTGAAAAATATGACAATTTGTAAAAATGTGTACGAAATAGAAATCTGTATAGAATATAAACTTGTTCAAAATCGGAAATATTTCTATATATTTTGATGTGTTATTTTTGAGATAAATCATTACTTCTTTTTGGCATGCATATGCAGTGCTTTTTCAAGAAGTTTGAATGTATCTGACATGCTCTGATTCATGCCAAGTATTTGATAGTTGGAAAATTTTTAAATATGCGAAGTTCTACCAAAATTTTAAATAATAATATAAAGAAAAAATTAATTAAATCCTTAACACGAACCAGCTCCACAGATTAAAACTGACTTTCCAGCAGTAACAGCAGCTCTTTGGCAAGCATGAACAGCAACAGCAAGTGGTTCAATCAAGGCACCTTCTTCCAGTGTAACATTATCAGGCAACCTAAAATTAAAAAATATTTCATAAATTTAAAATTTAAGACTACTTGTAGCATATATGATAAGCAGCTACTTGAAAATGCTAAAACTATACGCATTTTTGAATCAATGTATGTTTTCAAAACTTCCATAAATAAATCGAATTCATAAATAATAAATAAATCACATCTGTAGTTTGTTAAATATTCATAATGTATGAAAACATAGACTGGAATACAAACAATAAAATATTTACTTAGAAGTGTTGCTGGCAACTTTACATATAGTATAGCACTGATCAGCGAACAAGCACAAAGCTTTATTTGCTATGAGGAGAACCAAGTACCTATTATGATCCTGTAAATATGCTTCAGAGAATTCGTTACAATTCCCGTTTTGTTCTTTTTTTCGGGGGAGAGAAGACATTTCTTAAATAAATACACAAGGCATCACTATGCCGAAAAGTGAAAAACCTAAGCGTATACTGACTGATAAAAGATCCCGAGATGCAACACAGAGATGTAAGAGCAGAAACACACTCGTTTTACAACCTGTTATGATCCTGTAAATATGCTTCAGAGAATTCGTTACAATTCCCGTTTTGTTCTTTTTTTCGGGGGATTGCGAATGTTGTATGGATCGATCAAATGGCTAACTCAGCATCTGTTATATAATTCCCACTTCATTCGGTTAGAGAGCGTTGTCGGTGCAGGACAGGCAAGTTGCTAAAGGCTTAATGCTATATCTTCAGTAATTTAATGGTTGTTATATTTTTGTTGTTAATAAATTTTGTTGTTGTTATTTAAAGGAAGATACCATTAGCTATACTGAATCATTGAATGAAATACTGGCGCATAATGCCCTGGAAGCAATCTGGGAAAAAGAAAATATCGGAAGTAGTTAGCTGTTGGATTACGTAATTCTGAAAAGTTTGGACACATTACAAATTTCTATATTTCTGACTGTAGAGGTAAGGTTTCTTTAAACTTACAAATGCTGAGTTAACAGGGATAAGCTTTCAAAAATATTTGAAAAGATGTGTAACGTTCGCACCATTGCTACAAAACTAGTTACAATAGTTCAAGCTTCATGAAGCTACCGAAGACTCATTATCAGAATTATTTCAGTTTTTAGAAACGAAAGAACAGATTCTGGAAAGCTACGATTTAGAGGTAGAAGCACTCATAAACAATCCGAAAAAACTGAAAAGTGAATTAAAAATGAGGAAGAATATAATCTACTAAGATTAAACTAAAGAGCAAAATTTAAGAATTAAAACCAGAAAATGTTCAGTGGACTCCTTCAGTTCTTAATACATTTAGCATTTCAGGAAACACCGTTAAAGTTTAAAATTACCAAAATTAGACATTTCCAAATTCTCTGGTAATTCTAGCAAATTTATGGAATTCTTAAATTGTTTTGATAGTGCAACTGGTATAGATAATTTTCTTACAAAATTTGAAAAATTCCAACATTTAAAATCCCTTTTTTTCTGGCCTTGCGTATAATGTTCTTTCTGGTTTCGAAATAAATGAGGAGAACTATGATTCATGTCTTGAACTCTTAAAACAAAATAATGGTAGAAATGACTCTATTATAAATTCTTACATGACAAAATTCTTAAACTTAGCCAGAGCTAGAGAAAAGTTCTTCTTATGTTAAAAATGCCGAACAAAATCCTTTGAATTAGTATCTACTGAAAAAAAAAAAGTTTTTGAAAGGGCAAAAAATAACTGAAGTATCTTTTCATGCATTTTGTGACATCAGTTTCAAAGCATAGGTAAGTTTTGCGTTCCTAAGGTACTTTAATTTCAATGACCAAAATAAAGTGTGCATGCAAGATTAAAATTAATGGAAACATTCTTCGATGAAAGTTTAGGAAATTATTTACAAGGTTTCTTTCCTGGTTTCGCGAAAGAAATTTTTCCTAAGGAATGACTCTCGAATACCTCTTCATTGGTTGAAAGGATCATCTAAACAATGGAAAACATTTGTAACCAACAGAGTGGATGAAGTGCAGTCACTGAACGTATTGGAACCATTGCAATGGCTCCTACAAATCTGTAGACCTCATTACAAGAAAAAAATTGGCCAGGAGGATCCTGTCAAATTCTCTGTGGTGGTCAGGGCCTGCTTGGTTGTCTAAAGTACTTCACTCGTGGCCTAGTCAGGTATCGCTACATATTCTTGATGTTATTTGTGACGAAGATATTTAGTGAAAAAGAGACAGACTGCGCCAGTTAATTCCATGGTAACCAGTTCAGGTGATGGAAACTTAACTCTGTCGTTACTTGACATTAGTGACTTCAGTAAATTAAGTAGACTAATTTCCGTTACAGCGTAGATTAAAAGGTTTGTGCATCATTCTAAACCTAATTCTTCAAAATTAAATAGACCTATTTGTGCTTCAAAACTCAAAGAATTTTGCGGTTTTGAATCAAAGCTACTCAGTTCAAACATTATGCTGCAGAAATTATCTAGCTTCGTTCTCAAGGTAATTTGACAGAGTTTCACGCATATTCAGTTTGAATTCTGAACTTGATGACAATAATTTACTTTGCTTGAACGGGCCTTTACAGTTCTCAAGTAATAATGTGAGAGCCAAGCATACTTGGTTTCTTCCATCTAATAATAAATTTGTTGAGGTATTCATTTATGATTCTCATACTAAAATGCAACTTTAATTCATTTACAAGAATAATTTTTGGTTGTCAAAGGTCGTCGCTTTGTGCTAAATAACAGTTTGATTTGCAGCCGATTCAGTGTGAAATCTCGAACGCAGATGGTTGCCATTTTACCGCTTGATAGAATTCAAGAACATCCACCATTTGATATATGGGTTGTAGACATCGCCGGGCAATTTTTTGTACGTGATTTTAATTCAAACTATTATTTACTTATATTCAGCTGTGCAGTGACAAAAGGTATTCAATTAAAAGTAGTTGCGAACATAAGTGCTCATTCTTTACTATTAGGATACCTATGATTTCGTTTTCCCGGAGGAGTTTGTCCCATATACTCTGATACTCCCAAAGCTTTCAAAAAAGCCAATAGTGAGCTTATAAGGCATTTATTCCACCTTCTTAGCATGCCTTCGTAGTGGAATGGTCAGCACGCTCGACGCGTATTCGAGAGGTCCGTCGTTCGAGTCCCGGTGAGGGTATTGCTCTTTTGTTCATCTCTCCTGCTTCAAAAATACCTAATATCTCTACAATGGACGAAAGAAAAAGCTGATATGTTTATACGTATGTATAAAGCTTAATATTTGGATGATTTTATTTAAAATGTTAAAAAATGCAATTTGTGTTTGTATATCAATTGATTGTGAACAGTTTTGAAGCTTTGTATCTGATGTAAATTTAAATAGTTTCTAAATGTAAATTTTAATGAAAATGGATGGTAAGTGACTTATGTGAATTTAGTTGGGGAGTGTTATATATTCCCTGCGTCATTCGGCTAGAAGGGCTGTCTGTGCTCTGAGAGTCAGTGGCAAGCAAGATGCTAAAGATGTGAAATCAACAACTAGGAGTTACAACAGAGCTAACAGTTAGGAGGTGTTGCTAAAATGCGGAAGTGCGAGATGCCTAATAATATATCCTTAATTATTTTATTATTATTATATTTTTCTAGTTAACGAATTTTGTTGTTGCTATTTGAAGCAATATCTATGTAGAATTATCTACAGTGAATAATCAGATGAAATAACACTTTTCTTTACATTCCTCTTAGTCCCTTTTATCAGAATGGAGCAAAAAAATGGCCACTATAGGTCGTTGATCAGATTAACCATACCCAAAATATAATGACCATTACTTCAAGGCATAGCATCTAAACAATCTACATTCTTATATATTACATTATATTGCTATACGTATATTGTTATACTAAATCATACTCAATGATAAACATTTGATAAAGATCTCATTTCATACTGAAGTACTTTTCCTACTGTATTCTAATAGTTCATTTTTTGCACAAATATCTCTACATTAAAATAATTAAATTTAAAATAATTGTAACTAATTAATTTTTTAAATAACTTTTGTACTACCGACAAATGAACTGTACTACCGGTGCTAAAACCGACAATCTGACTCGCGTTTTTACGAAATCTCCCTACCATACTTATGCAACATAACATTATTATAATTTCTTTTGTTCCTCTTAATTAAGCCACAAAAGCTAAAACAACATATATGAGCATATTCATTATGAGAATTGATTAAAATAACAATATTTTGCTTAATTAGAACTTAACTGTAAAATAGTCCTGTTTTGAAAACATTAAATCTAACATGAAATGATAATTTAAACAAAATCATATACTTGAAACAAAAGTCCGCTATCTGGCAATAATATTGTGAAAGAGATCCATCGAAAGGTGCACCGAATTTCGTAAGTTCACAAAGATTATAGCGTCCACTTTTACAAAATTCGCACGTTTTGCAGGGTCTACCGAATTCGATGCAAACTCGATCTCCTGAAATCAAAACACACTAAATGAATTGCTAGAAAAAATTTAAAATGGAAACAGTAATTTATCCCAGTGTTGCATGTAACTATGACAAACATAAGAAACTGGAAGTAAAATTCACTAATCAAACACGAAAGAAATCATGTATTAAATAAAAAGCATAAAATCATATTCGAACAGCATAAATACTATAACAAAAGTTAATAGACTGCAAGCACAGCTAAAAAAAGAAATTAAGCCGCCAGTGTCTGCAAGAAGAAAAAATTCCAAAGGGAATAATTTATTATCTTTGATGACATATGCATACCTATTCAAACATTTAAAAAATGATTAAACTCATAAAGTGTTTCTCCCGCCTTCTTAACATGCCTTCGTGGTGTAGTGGTCAGCACGCTCGGCGCGTATTCGAGAGGTCCGTGGTTCGAGCCCTGGCGAGGGCATTGCTCATTTTCCTCTCTCCTGCTTCGAAATAACCTAATGTCTCTACAAGCTTAAAGGCGATGAAAATAATTTAAATTTAGGTGGTATTTTGCTGTTTGAAAGGTAGAAAATGTTTGCATAAATTTTATGTGTACGTCCAATTCTACATATTCATAGTTAAAATTATCTTCTTTAAGAAAAATTTTAAATATATAGAGTGTTGAGTTCAAAAATGGACTCTCCGTAGAACTACTAAGTGCACGTATTCATGAAATACTTCTTGTCTAGTATTTATGTTGTAAATGATGCTCTTTTGGTTCAATATTTCCCAATACGAAGTGTTACTAGTCCGAAGACCAGTAAGGCAGCATTCACGCGATGGTGTAGTCATCATTATTGTAATAGTGTTAAGGCATGAAAGAAAATAACTCCTTTCATACTCGGGGAATAAGGTTTAACCCTAGTCAATCAGGGTAGGCAGAGTTAAGCATGCTTGAATGTGTAGATGGCTCAGGGGGAAATTATCAAATAAATGTGATTTCATGCTTACTGCCACTTTGTTTACCTATTTCAGCTATAAATGCACGTGATGTAAAATGGAAATATATTCTTTCTTATTATTTGGTTCTTTTGGTTTGGCACGCATTTGTGCGATGTTACCGTTATGTGATGATTTGTACGTGCTTTATTTTTTACCCCAATATTTTCAACGATGATGTTTTTAAACTGCGAAAAGTTTTGGAACCTCTTTTTTGTCGACAGCGATATTTTGCACCACGACGTTTTAGAACTGCGATGTTTTTCTTTGCTTTCTTTTCTCCCAAGATGTTTTGTGCCACGACGTTTTCGCCTTGCGTTGTTTTCTCCGTGACGTTTTTGTTGCGATGTTTTCGGTCGTAACCTTTTCGCGTTACGTTGCTTTATGTGTGACGTTTTCTTCCGCGATGTTTTCGGTGGACACCAATTCATAATCACCTTAAGCGAGGGCCATCTTTTGGTGAAGTTATGTACTATCTCAGAAAACATCATAATAACTGACTTCACTGATCTACATATTTGCAACGAAGATTCTGTTACTGATCAAATATATATATAGATGATCTCTTGTCGAAAAAGGGTTTTTAGGGTTCTATAGACCTAACATTTTTCTGACTCTAGAGACCTAAAGTTTTCCTTAATTAAATATAATTTCTGGGGTCATTGATTTTTTTCTGTAGTATGAATAACATGAAAGCCAAAATAATTCAAATGAATTTCCAATCACAAATTCCACAACATAATGATGTAAAACATGTCTGAAATGTGTCATGGTTGTCAAATGTGTCTAGATTGTCTCAGAGCACAACTGCAACATATCAGTTTCCTCCCTTGGGCCTTTGGCAGCTCATACTGACCAATAGTAGAAGCGTAGGTGTAAATCTAAGAGATTTAGTTCACAAGTCTATTTAATTTCTTAAAACGACAATACGATACTTGCATACAAATTCTTAATTATATGTAATACTAATTATTTCTACCTGTATTAATGGATATGCCAAGATATCTTATTTCTGAAATCATGTAAATACTATTTTGAAACTCATCAGTGAGCAATTCTGTAGTATTTATTTAGCACATTATGTCGTTATGCAAAATTACAAATTAATGTTAATCGTTTGGCAAAATTACGTAATATTGTTTCCTATATATTACAAATAAAGTTGAACTGCTTAAGTTACCTTTTATTTTTGCATTCAGAAAGAACAAAATAGGATTTAGCTTTTCCCCCACAATCCACGAATATTATCATATCGAACAAAAGAGTTCCGTGCTGTTCCTTTTGACATTTTTTTTCCAGAATATAGTCGTGATGAATGCAGGAGTTCAACCAGCGCATGTCACAGTTATCTAACTTTTGAGTGGCACGAAGAAACATTTTAAGGGTTTTTTTGTTTTGTTTTGTTTTTTGTTTGTATAATTAGATAAGAAGACCTAAAATTCTTATAAAGTAAACAGAGCATGAAAATATTGTATTTTCAGTATGAGAGAAAAAGAACTGTTATAAACAATGTTACAGTAAATTGAAAATAGTTTTAGAACAAAACCTAATATATAAATATAAAGTATAAAACATACCCGGTTTTAAGTTTTGAACTTTATCACCAACTTTTACGATAGTACCACTCGATTCATGTCCTAATATCAAAGGACCTTCACAAGTTAGACTGCAAATCCTCCCCTTTTTCCAGCAGTGAATATCAGAACCACAAATGCCAACAGAATGAATTCCAATTAGGACCTCTTAAATATTAAACATCACGTAAATCAAATAAGTATTGAATATGAAGTACATTGACTTTCATTGCAAAACATAAATTTCGAAAAAATGTTTAGCATTTAATTGCTAATTTAAAATTTTATCAATATATTTTAATAAATCACAATGCATTAAATGTACAGAAAGATCACTAATTAAGAAACATCAGTTCAAAAAATTAGGAAATTTTGAAAGTAATTCACTTTTTATTTCATCATATAATCACATCAGTATATGAAAAGAAGAAATAATTGCAATAAATGGTTCTATACATATTTCATTTTAATGATATGCACTCTAAAATAATTATAAGTATGCTATCAAAATATTCTCCTGAGCACACAAATTTTCGAAAACCTCTCTTGGGATTATATCACCTCCACAACCACAGCTCCGCGGACACGGATTTGTATGATTATTTATACGACTCTGAACATTTGCATAATTCTTCGGTGTTACAATTAGTACCTTTGGTTAAATTATTTTCGTAAAAATAGATATAATTTGCAGATTCTCCTGATTTTGCAGACCAGTGTATTTACAATATTTGATGGGAGTTCAAATGTACTTGAATCTTATTTTAAAATGTTATTTAAGGAAAGGACACAATAGTATGTTTCAATAGGGTTATTATAAGTTACTTAATATTTAAAGATGTAAAAATACACTAAGCGAAGCTAACCAAAGTGTTTTTTATGTTGTAATTTAAAGAAATGTTGTAATATAAGATTTTTGGAGAAAATTTAATTGCTTTCAGTCCCCTCACCACCAAAAAGAAGAAAAATTAATGTGACAATATAACAATGAATATAGAACATATTTGTTGATACTAGATGTAGTTACAAACACGTTATTTATCCTGCATTTGTTAGAAAGGTATTAAATTCAACATTTTTATATATATTGCAAAGTAAATATATCTTTTATAATTATGAAATTAAATGAAAAGTACTGTACTATTTTAACTGCCCACCTGAAAAAGAGGTAATTATTTTTACAGAAAAAATAACTTTTCGTGAGCTGTGAATATTAATTAAGCAATCATTCAGGAAAGAAAACATTTGCTACAAAATGCAAACAAAAAATGAAAAACAAGTTACCATCTGCTGCAGGTTCAGGCACAGGTTTGTTTTCCTGTAAATCAGATATTTCAAAATATGAGCACACAGTAAACACATTTGCAACAATAAAGGCAATAATAAAGACATATTTATTCATGTAAAAATAAATACACGTAGGATATGCGTAAGATGAAAAGCATTCTATGCATTCAAAGAGGGAAATATAATTAGAATGTTATGCAAATAAAATGAAATACTGAAGCTCACTTTTTAACATATAAAATGTGAGGTATTGAGGCGCTGAATCGATGTCAAATAAAGCAACAATAGCATTTGTTAAGCATTTAAAGTTTAATCCAATTTTGCGGAAATGAAGTTCAGATTATGGAGCATGTTAGACACAGGTGTTCAGTAAAAACATGATCATTTAATTATTTAATAATTTCAGCTGCTATACTGATATCTCCCAAATGTTTTTTGAGGAAATTTTACAATATCATTTTGATGAATTTCGATAAAAATTTGCGCTTCAGATACCGAAAGCTGGCTGTGTATCTTCAATACTCTCAGCTCTTGATAAAATTAAAGGGCATCTTCATGATTACATTTACGTATAGTATAGAAAGAAAGGAAGATTTTTTATTATTATAAAATTTACATTTTCAAATGTGTAAAGTTTATCCTAAGTTTTTAACAGTTATTTTTAAGCTCCCTTTCCTATATCTCCTAATTTCAGCTTACATTTTCCTACCATAATGTGTTTTTAGTATCGCGTTTAACGCAAATGAGTAAGAATAGTATTGAAGTCCAAGTTCTACTTACTTCGAGAGATGATAGCTGGAAAACAACATGCATTTAGCATGTTAATGGTGGCGACTAGCAGAACCTGGAACTTCGAGAGAGAGCATCAGAGTTTCTGACTAGCGCGCGTTTGTCTTTTGGCCACGTCTCTATAAGCTATTACTACGCTCGGCCGTATTACGGGCACTTGATAGCTTCGCTAGCTAATTCGTTATTTAGGAGCCAACTAGTTATAGCTTCGGCTACATCTCTTTAGTTAAGCTCTTATTTTTACACTTTTGAGTTTAAGCCCAAGTGGAGGCTTTGCTGTACGCCCTGAGAAAGGAGCCGACTGTTTATCTTTTATTTTAAAGGGTAATTAACCCTTCTTGAGTTTACATCTCTGTTCCTGAATTAAAGCGATTATTCGCTTAGCTGTTCATTGGTTTCTCCACATTTAGTTATTAGATAAAAGGGTGGAACCCCACATTTGAAAGCCGAAGCATTCTTGACGAACTATGCCTTCAGAAAACAAAAAATTTATGTTGACCTCTCCGACCTTTCAAGTCCCTCAGCGTACTTTAGTTATTATTTCTATCATTAGCAGCGACATAAGCATCTTGGTTAACATAATTCGGAAAGTTGAAAAGAAAAAAAAGTATGTGTGGCGTGGACGTATAGCTGCAGTTAACAGTGTTCCAGAAATAATAAGTGCACACTTCCTTATATAGTAAAAAGAAACAATGTAAAAATAATTTCAATAACGCATTTTATTTTTCGCATTTTATTTGTTTTGGTTTTCTTTCTTTTTCTTTTTTCCCCCTTTTTTTTTTGTGTGTGTGGGGGAATTCCGAACTTATATAAAAATTATTTTAACTTGGACATTAGCTGGGATTACGCAAAATATCAGAAACATTAAAAAGGTTTAAAAATGTGCATATGTACGTAAGAAGATGAAAATTAATTGAAATTTCGATTTTAAACCGCTGCAGACTCACTCAGTTGATCAGTGTTTACGTTTACATGTAATGTTTTCGAAAATGAGAATAATGAGAACGTTGTTCAGAGCAGAGGTACGTTTGTTGGCCATTTTAATTTAAAGCATTATCCGATTCGTTTGAGAATTAGGGGCTTATTAGTTTTTACTAATACTGTAAGGATCTTAAGTTTTACTAACGTTTATTTTATTTTAAATCTTTACTATCACTTCTTATTTTCTACTTCCGGCCAGAATTATAAGCGTGAAGGAGGTTATGCAAAGTTTGTCTGGCGAACGCCAAGTATTTAAGTGTGGCCTTTTTGCCAAGCAGAAGAGAGGAAGCCGTGAGTTCGAAGCAGGCCGCTTACCTTAGAAGTTACGCAGTTGCTACTTTGCCTTCCAGGCCAGAGGTTTTAATCCTCTTGATAAATTAAACGTTGTAGTGTTCACAGTCTCTGTGCTACATACGCTTCCTGTTATTATAAGGCCAATCTTATTCTAAAGTTAAATTAGAGTTTAGTTTTATTTTGATATCTTTTAAGTTAGACCCCGAGTGGAGGGTCATTGTATTCCGAAGTACGGAAGTCATTGTATATAAAGAAAAAATAAAGGGTTTTGTATACCCTTCGTCTGTATCCTGTCTACTTACTACAATTAGTGAACATAGCTTTAGTAAGCTCTCTGTTCTAGTCAGGTCATTGTATGTTTCCGAAGAAGGTTAGAAGAAACATTGAACCTGATAATACAATAGAATTACCATAATGTCAAACATACTGTTGCCTATTGTTTTAAATAAAAGAGCCGGATGAAAATTAATGCTGGACATTTGCTGCAGTTCCAGACAGTGATGATTATTGCAAATGAAGAAACAATTAAAAGCAGTTTCTGCTAACAATAGTTTCAAACAACTATAAAGTTTTAATTAAAACGTATCGCTACAATCACCCTTATCATAGAATAATATAGTGTTGATTATGTCCTAAATTGCAGACCACTGAATGTTCAAAACGAAGAGAGAACAGCAAGTTCATTCACTATAACAAGGGCGGACTTCACTGAATTTTTAGTAGCGACAAAAAGTTTTGTCATTTCTCTTAGGGGGTTTTCAAAAAGCGATGTTTAAAGCTCTATTTATACTATTTACATAATTCTAAAGCATATTTGCACTGGTGACAGGTGTTACGAAGTGTTTAACACATTAAAGATTTGATATTACAGTCATTAGAGTAAATTAAAAGTTACACAAAAAGCAAAAGTAAAGTTGTTACAACAAGGAATTACACACACAGTTATAATAAAGTAAGACACAAAGCAGCTAAAAAATAAACAATAACAAATGCACAATAATAAAAGACAGATAAAAACAATATGCAATGAAATATAAACGAGTATAATACTTACATTAATATACATATAAACGAGTATAATAATGTAAGCACAAATACTTACATTAATATACATATAAACGAGTATAATAATGTAAGCACAAATACTTACATTATTTATCTTCGTATCCTTTCTAATTGTCATTTAATATACGAGGTTTGGTCAGTAATGAGAAGCGCAGTTTTTACAATAAATTCACATAGTTCACTTAACGCATTCGCACATCAGCTTTACTCGACATGGTCTCCGCGATATGAAACAGCTTTACTCTGCCGTTATTGCCAGTCCTTAAAGCAATTCGCGTTCGAAGCTATTTAGGGATGCAGAAAGGAGAGAGAAGATAGGTACCCCCTTTTAAAGGGCGACTGGGGATTAGGGGATTCAGTCGCCAAATCATAGTGATGAAGAATCATCATCCACCATCTTTTAGTTTGGGTGCCACTGTAGAATCATTAGTTTTTTTTTTTTTTTTTCTGTAGACGTGAAAAATGAGCAATGCTTTCGCTGAGACTCGAACCTGGTACCCTCGAATATGCGCCGAGAGTGCTCCCGTTACACCACGAAGGCATGCAGAAAGGAGGGGGAAAATACCTTATAAGTTCCGTCTTAAAATATCTATCCTTTGATTAATGTTTAATCTCAGAATATTTAAAAAATTCGGAGCTCTTTCTTGGTTGTTATAAAATGTCATTCTTTTTGGTAAGTTTAATAGAAGGCACTGCTTGTGCATACAGAACCAGGCTTAACTTAAGACATAAGAGAACCAAAAATAAGTTAATTGTAATTATCCAAAGGCTACACAGACACAAAACGCGCAAGTTGTCTGAAAAACCTAATGTCGGCGTGACAAGCCTAATTACGAGAATGCCACAGATAATAAGCTCTCACGAAAATCCAAGAGAATCAAATAGCAAACGTGGCCTTCAGGAGGTGAAACGAGCTGTAATTCTACCCACTAAAACCTTCCTTTAAATACTACCTTTTTTCTACCTGGTTTTAATACGCGCGAACTAGAAATTAGCATTCCGGCAGGAAAATGGAAGCGAGAAAACCAGCGAAGATAATTAGCATAAAATAACTAGTTAGTAAAACTAAATGTATACTCTACAATGTGAATGAGGAATATATTTATGCATTTTACCAAAAATTAATCATGCGTAACTATTGGAAACGTGCTCTGTTCTTGTTGTTAGTCTTCTTGATCTGAACTTACAGTCAGATCAGTTTCACGAATTTAATAGTGACGAAGAGGCAAGGGGTCGCCGCTTTTTCGGATGGCCCAAACTTTCCTTTTACTATCGATAGGCAGACTTTTGCCACCGATAATGAAATGGCCGTTGTTTATCGATTACGAAGGTTTTAATGTTTGGATTCGTGTATAACTTTGTCAGAAAGAAAATTAATATCGCGAAACCTTGCAATTTAAAGGAATACTTTGCAGACACGAAGTAGAACTGTTAAAAAAATTTGCTTATTACTATAGAAAATCATAACCATTCGATGATAAGAGTATGTTATGTATTATACCAGTTATGAAAGTAAATGTAAAGATAATGTATGTATGTATGTAAAGTAAATAAAATCCTCTAGAACGCAAACACTTTATTTGGTTATCTAGTTGAAAGTTCGGCCATTTGTTCTTAAGTACTTATCAACATAAATTTTATTAATTTTATTGCCTAAGATCTAGTTGGTGTTTCCAGATCTGGTCCCAGTTAAAAAAAAGAAAAAAAAAATGTTTATAGACGTTCATATTCATTAATTTTGTTGCATAACGTGTAATAGAGTTCTGTTTGATTTTTATTTGGTTTCATTGACAGCTACTGCATGCTTTTTTTTTTAAATAGCTGATGCTTTACAAAAACTTCCATACTATATTAAACATTAAACAGGGTATACTATGATAGATTTGAAAATTTTTATTGTTT